TCTGGTGCATGCTAAGGGTTGGGTAGCAGTCTAGCAATTGGTACACCCTTCTAGGATTCCTCCAGCTATCCTACAAGCTAGAACCCCAGTGTTCATCACTCTTCCACTGTCCACACACACCCCCACACCAGACACACCACACACGGCAGCTTGTCACCACCCAACAGTTTGTCCGCAGACTTGTATGCTGGGCCACCACATACATACAGATCTTCATCTGGCAGATCTGCTACTATGCAATCTGCCAACACGCAGTGCAGTTGCATGCAGATTGGCAATGAACTAAGTCCAAGCACATATAAACCATATAGAATGCTGCGCTACATTCAAACTAATTTAAGTGAATGTGGAATCCAATATCTCAAATCAAAATAGTGACAATAATAATAAAAATATATACGTGCTTACTGATATCAAAATTATCAAATAAAACACCCAAAATGATGAAAAACACAAACTTAAATCTATACGCATGTGCATGAGAAATACATATACATATAATTACATCACACGTGCAAAATGTGAAATGTTGACTAAATAATAAACGCAAACTCAAAGTCCAATATTGGAATGTTGAAGGTGAACAAAACTGTAAACAGTGTTTCCAATAATACTATAAAGTGACCACAGGTGAAACAAATCGTGCAGGTATCTGGGTGTAGATAGAGCTTATGAATCCAACCACCTTCTGGATTAGCCTCTCACCTCATCACTTCGACCCTTGCGGATCAAAGAGCAGTAATGGATCCCTCTCACAGATCCTCCAGGCACCAAAGCACTCCAAAAACGCTTTTCAGGATTTAGTATTCCCACTCAAGCTCTTCTCCAGGTATAGGTGAAATATCAATCTCTTCCCGCCAAAACACAGCTCTCTCAGTGCGCATCTCAGGCTGAGCAGCTCACCCCTTCCCACTTCCTGTTTCTGCTGTGCTTGGCTGCGGACAAACCGAGGCGTGGAATGCAGATTGAAAAAACGTTATTATACCTCGTAGTCCCGAAGCAGTCTCCTCCGTCTCCACTGTCCTGAGCACTTTTCCGACCCCGCCCACCAGTCTAGGCTGCTTCGGGACTACGAGGTATAATAACGTTTTTTCAATCTGCATTCCACGCCTCGGTTTGTCCGCAGCCAAGCACAGCAGAAACAGGAAGTGGGAAGGGGTGAGCTGCTCAGCCTGAGATGCGCACTGAGAGAGCTGTGTTTTGGCGGGAAGAGATTGATATTTCACCTATACCTGGAGAAGAGCTTGAGTGGGAATACTAAATCCTGAAAAGCGTTTTTGGAGTGCTTTGGTGCCTGGAGGATCTGTGAGAGGGATCCATTACTGCTCTTTGATCCGCAGGGGTCGAAGTGATGAGGTGAGAGGCTAATCCAGAAGGTGGTTGGATTCATAAGCTCTATCTACACCCAGATACCTGCACGATTTGTTTCACCTGTGGTCACTTTATAGTATTATTGGAAACACTGTTTACAGTTTTGTTCACCTTCAACATTCCAATATTGGACTTTGAGTTTGCGTTTATTATTTAGTCAACATTTCACATTTTGCACGTGTGATGTAATTATATGTATATGTATTTCTCATGCACATGCGTATAGATTTAAGTTTGTGTTTTTCATCATTTTGGGTGTTTTATTTGATAATTTTGATATCAGTAAGCACGTATATATTTTTATTATTATTGTCACTATTTTGATTTGAGATATTGGATTCCACATTCACTTAAATTAGTTTGAATGTAGCGCAGCATTCTATATGGTTTATATTCACTTGATCACTGGTATATGATTTAATGCTAGCAGCTGTTTTGGGGTTCATACATAAATTTATTTTGTTTAATTGTTTAAACACACATTTGGAGCGCAGGAGGGTCACACCACAATTGCTACTATTAAGTCCAAGCACAGACACTACAATTCAACAACCTCTCTCCGGAAATATGAGCCCGAGCTTAGTACCCAGAAGTCACTTATTAATTTTATGATTTAATATCCTGAAGGTGGGCAGTGCATAAAATATGTACAAAGAAAAAACAAAAAAAAACAATTGTCTATTCACTATGGAATAAAAAGTGAATAAAAACAGAAATAAAACCTTACCAAGATTTATCCTGCGACTGGAGCAAGTAGAAAATCCTGCAATTCGCCAGTCATATGGAACTGGCTCCATACGAATCACCCCGTCCATATCTCAGGGTCCTCAATTTATTGAAATATGGATGTGGGCTGGACTTTAGCTCTTGGCCAATTAACAATGGGGGTGTTCCTGTACCAGCCCAAAGGATGTTCTGTGTTCTAAAGGGACCAAAGTGAAATGGGCCAGGAACGGTTCTGGTGGCTGAGTCAAGGATAGGGTTCCCGACACCAGCGCATCAGTCCGAATGCAACAGTACCAATCACTGTTCAGCTGTCGCAATCGGGCACCATATAACCATTTTCTGCATTTCTCCGGTATTCTACAGAGGCTACAAATACAGTTTTACAAGTACATGGAGCCTAAAATGTGTCCAATCAGAAGGAAGTATTTCCATCTCTCTGCAACTAATATTTTAGCTTTTATGAGAGATGAAATATATTCCTCTGATCTGTGGATATAAATCAGAGCTGGCAGACACTTAAAAAATCTCCATGGGTGACGTTTTAAAAATGTATACAAGTTACCAGTGTAAACTTACAGAGGAGATCTAGTGCTAGAATTCTTGCTTTTGCTCTGATGTTCGTTGTGATATGTGTGTGGTTTGATCTCAGGGGAGAGATCTGTATCGTTTACATACAGACCTTTCCCCCGTCAGTGATGCTTGGCAACCGCTGGGTGCCAGTGGGGTATCACTGGCCGGGACCCAGTGATTGACAGCTGAGGCCGCCAATGGCAGTGTGGAAATACAAAATACCCTTCCCTCTCCAGAGGATTTACCCTCCTTCCTGACCAGGACATTTTTTACGTTACGGCTCTGAGTTACTTTAACTGACAATTGTGCGGTCATGCAGTGCTGCACCCAAATTAAATTTACGTCATTTTTTTCCCGTGATTTGAGCTTTCTTTCGGTGGGATTTGTTCGCCTGTGCGTTTTTTATTTTTTGCGCTTTAAAAAAAGAAAAAGACTACCAATTTTGAGAAAAAAAACAATATTTTTGACTTTTTGCTATTAAAGTGGAGTTCCACTCAACCTGTCAAAAAATAAAAGTCAGCAGCTACAAAAACTGTAGCTGATGACTTTTAAAAAACAGCCACTTACCTGTCCCTCGGTCCCATGGTGTGTCCCCCGTAGCTTGTTTCACCAGCCATCCTGTATTCCAGGACCCTGGCATCCTCAGTGTGGGCACCCGGCTGTGATAGCTTGTGAATTCACAGCCGGGTACCCACTGTGCATGTGCGAGTAGCGCTGTGCTTCATGAATGGTCCTGTAATCTTCTGGGCCCTGTCAGGTGACCCAAAAGACTACAGGGAGGGAAGGAGGACACCTTCCATTTCCGATCGCCTAGGCAATCGGACTGAAAGTTGGAGCGGGTACCTGTCAAATTTGGGTACCGGCTCCCCCCTGCCCCCCAAAGGTGCCAATCCTTAATGGGGAGAGGGGGAGCAGACCTTAAAGTGGAACTTAACCTTTTGGGTGGAGCTCTGCTTTAAACACATCCAGTAAAAAAATTTAAAAAATCAAATTTCCTCAAAAATTTTGGCCAAAATGTATTCTGTTCCGTGTCTTTGCTAAAAAAAAAAATCCCAATACGTGTAAATTAATTGTTTTACGTGAAAGTTATAGCATTTACAAATGGCGGTATATATACTGGCCATTTTTTTAAATTTTTGCTAGTAATGGCGGCGATCAGCGACCTATAGCGGGACTGCAGCGGGTATTCTGATACTGGGGGGAACTGACTTGGTGTCATTGACATCCCCAGTGACACCATTACAGTGATCAGTGCTAATAAAAAGCACTGACACTGTACAAATAGCACTGGGCAAGAAGGGGTTAACCTCTGAGGCAATCAAAGGGTTAACTGTGTGCTGTTTTACAATGTGTGCTGTGTGTTTCACTGTAAGCACACTGCTGTGCACAGCCATGCAAATCAGTGTGCAGGAGCTGACAGGAAGGAGATCTATGTTGTTTACTAACCGTTCTCACCCCCTTCAGAGATCCTCAGCAATCACCGGGCACCAGCAAGTAATCACCAGCCGGGATTGCGGCTACGAATGGCGGTGCGAGTAAAGCACGTGCCCCTTACCCGGAAATGCAAAATAACGTATGTATACGTGGTTGTGCGCACAGCCACAGCTGCCGCCCTGTAGTAGTATTTCTACTATGGGGCAAAGCTGAACCGGTTAAAGACTTCTCTGGCAGATCGTATCCCATCAATTCCATTTGTAGTGAAAGTCCTAATAAACCAATTATTCTATAATGATCCCAGTCTGAGATATTCATCCTAAAATGTGATCAGTAAAGTCTCCGGAGAACACGGAGATCACAGGGATAGGATGTGTCCTGGCAAAGCCCAAAGACAACGTTCATCTTTCAGTTTAGGAGAGGTGGGACGCACCCGGGAGAAATGATTCTGTGTACAGAAACCTCAAAGAGCGCCCCCCACAGCTCCTCCTCCAATGTCCTCCACCAGAGTCCCTCCAACATCACAGACCTCACAGCTCCTCAGAGTCCCTCCATCCAGAGTCAGAGAATCCTATGACATCACACTGACCTCACAGCTCCTCCTCCCATGATCCCTCCTCCTATGACCAATGACCTCACAGATCCCCTCCATCCAGAGTCAGAGAATCCTATGACATCACACTGACCTTACAGCTCCTCCTCCCAATGCCCCTCCATCCAGAGTCAGAGAATCCAATGACATCATATGCTGGGAATTCTGGGACATTCTCCAGTAACAGACAAGGGATGTGTCTGGATGGTGACTGTATCATTGTGTGTGTCAGGTTCCTATAAGGTGTCAGGGTGTCACTGTCTATTTCTCCATGGAGGAGTGGGAGTATTTAGAAGGACACAAGGATCTCTACAAGGACGTCATGATGGACAATCAGCCGCCCCTCACATCACCGGGTAAGAGGAGACTTTATTGTAAAGGAGAGAGCAGTACGGAGGATCCACCTAGATCCCCCATCATCTGATAAACACATAGAAACAATGGATTCAGTCAGTGTGTGTGTTTCCTACAGATGGATCCAGTCATGGGAACCCACCAGAGAGATGTCCCCGTCCTCTGTATTCCGGGATTCCACACAGGAAGGTCACACCATCCCTCACCATCATCAGGTAGATGAGGAACAATCACTGATAGTATCATTAGGATCTGTACATTATCTGCATTGTTACCATTGATGTCATTTTTATTATATATTCAGAGTGGAAACCTGAGAGATTGTAAAGTTGAGGTTAAAGAAGAGATAAAAAAGAGGAGGATGAAGAGGATGGGGTGATGGAGTCTCCAAAAGTACACAAAGATCTGTACCAGGACACCATGGTGGAGTCATCCAGCTACAGGAACCCACCAGAGAGATGTCCCCGTCCTCTGTATTCCCGGGATTCCACACAGGAAGGTCACACCATCCCTCACCATCATCAGGTAGGTGATTGACAATTATTGGTAGTTGTGATTTTATACACAGCATGTTTGTTACAATGAATGTTTTATTATATCTTTCAGAGTGGAATCCTCGGGGATGATAATATTGATGTTAAAGAAGAGTATAAAGAGGAGGATGAGGAGTATGGAGTGATGGAGGAGTTTTCAGAAGGACACAAGGATATGATGGAGCCACCTAATACCAGGAACCCACCGGAGAGATGTCCCCATCCTCTGTATTCCCGGAATTCTACACAGGAAGGTCACACCATCCCTCACCATTACAAGGTTGGTGGGATGGAGCATCTAGAACATGGACTTGTAGTAGTTATGTGTGGATATTTTATGTGACCTTACATTTTACAGATGATATTTTCTCATTTCATTTCCTTGATTTAGAGTGGAGATCCAATCGATATAGAATTTGAGGTGAAAGCAGAAGAAGAAGAGGCGTATGTGAGGGGATGATCAGCAGTCTATGGAGGAGGATGGAATAACGGGGACATTTATAGAGGAGGACACTCCTACAGAGATCAGCACAGGTGGGTCATGAACACTAAATCCATTCCTCCATTCCTCCACCCATACTGCTCACTGATTGGTCCAGAGTAGAGCTCGGTCTAGGCACCTGGGGCATGTGATTTGGGTCTTCTGCCCCATGCCCGGGTCTAGCAAGATCTCTGAGAGAACAATCCAACCAGGGTTCCTTGCTCTGTGGTCTGCTGGCTGTGCCGGGTGGAGGGATATGTCTGTATAGTCTCAGACCCAAGTCACTGAGTGCAGTCTCAGGAGATGGGAGGCAGCGGTGTGGGATCTCTGCAACTTGTCTACAGTAAACATTTCATCTTCCACTAAATACAAATAATTTGAGTCCTGACCATTACACTGTATGATATATGGTATATTGCATGTTACATACTCCTGACCCCTGCACATATACTGCACTCTGTTTGCATTACATACTCCTGACCCCTGCACTATATACTCTGTTGTTGTACATATTACATACTCCTCTTGTTGACCCCTGACCCCACTATATACTCTGTTGTACATTACATACTCCTGACCCCTGCACTATATACTCTGTGTTGTACATTACATACTCCTGACCCCTGCACAATATACTCTATGTTGTACATTACATACCCCTGACCCCTGCACTATATACTCTGTTGTACATTACATACTCCTGACCCCTGCACCCATATATACTCTGTGTTGTACATTACATACTCCTGACCCCTGCACTATATACTCTATGTTGTACATTACATACTCCTGACCCCTGCACTATATACTCTATGTTGTACATTACATACCCCTGACCCCTGCACTATATACTCTGTTGTACATTACATACTCCTGACCCCTGCACTATATACTCTGTTGTATGTTCCATACCCCTGACCCCTGCACTATATACTCTATGTTGTACATTACATACTCCTGACCCCTGCACTATATACTACATGTTGTACTTACATACTCCTGACCCCTGCACTATATACTCTGTTGTTGTACATTCCATAGTCCTGACTTTTGCTCTCCCCCCCCCCCACTGCTATATATACACATAATATGGATTCTCTTTTGTTCCCCCCATTTCCTACCAGCTGGACATTTTATATCGGATGATGTGATTGGAGCACAGACTTTACATGGTGATAATAATGTGATAACATTCTCCAACTTTGGACCCTTAAACAGAAAGTGATAATGAGGGAGGAGTCAATATCCCAATGATGGTGGTCTTCAGGATCAGTCCAGTCTTCATCTTGGTTGTTCTCCCCCCATCCTCACTCTCTGACCTCTGGTGGGACTCGGCCAGTCCTGGTTTCGGGGAGTCAATCTGCTCCTGTCTAGTAATCCTCTTTGTCTTTGTATTTTAGTCCATGGCCGGGAGATGAGGAAAACCTCCGAGGATTGTCTCACTTTGTCTCCAGACTGGAAAGTAGAAGATGAGGATATCACACAGTATAGTCCAGGAGAAAACCCGGCTCCCTCCAATGTCCATCCGGCACCACCCAGTGTAGATGGACCATCGGATTCCTCGTATCCTGAGGAACCTCAGACTGTGCGGGACCGGGCCGGCCTTCCAATAGAGAAGAGCTTCTCCTGTACTGAGTTTGGGAAGGGTTTCCATTCTAAATCCAAACTTAATGTGCATAAAATTTCTCACACGGGGGAGAAGCCACATTCCTGTCCTGAGTGCGGGAAATGTTTTTCACAAAAGTCTAATCTTCAAACACATCAGAGATGTCACACAGGGGAGAAGCCGTATTCCTGTCCTGAGTGTGAAAAATGTTTTTCACAAATGTCCACTCTTCAAACACATCAGAGGTTTCATACGGGGGAAAAGCCATATTCCTGTCCTGAGTGTGGGAAATGCTTTGTACTAAAGTCAGAACTTGTCGTACATCAGAGATCTCACACAGGTGAAAAGCCATATTGCTGTCCTGAGTGCGGGAAATATTTTTCAATGAAATCCCAGCTTTCCATACATCAGAGATCGCACACGGGGGAGAAGCCATATTCCTGTCCTGAGTGTGGGAAATGTTTTTCACAAATGTCCGGTCTTCAATTACATCAGAGATCTCACACGGGGGAAAAGCTGTTTTCATGTTCTGAGTGTGGGAAATGTTTTTCAGTGAAGTTCAGGCTTTACACACATCAGAGATTACACACGGGAGAGAAGCCATATTCCTGTCCTGAGTGTGGAAAATGTTTTTCAGACAAGTCCGGTCTTTGCACACATCAGAGGTCTCACACGGGGGAGAAGCCTTATTCCTGTCCTGATTGTGGGAAATGTTTTTCACAGAAGTCAAATCTTTACAGACATCAGAGATCTCACATGGGGGAGAAGCCATATTCCTGTCCTGAGTGCGGGAAATGTTTTTCACAGAAGTCTGATCTTTACAGACATCAGAGATCCCACACAGGGGAGAAGCCACTTTCCTGTCCTGAGTGAGGAATTGTTCCTCACTGAAGTCCTGTCTTCCTGTACATCAGGGGTCCCACACAACCCTGGAGGTGTATTAGTGCCTTGAAATGTCTTCTAGATGAATGTTGCTGGACATCCCAGCTCTCATGTGGGGAAGAAGCACCCCCTGATATACACCTCAGATATACTCCATGGCTGATCTTCATCATGGAAGAAACAGTTCATAAGGAGATTAGAGGTCCCCAAAGATGTGGATGAAGTGTGGGACAGGGTTGGCCATTGATAGCAGGAGAAGAAAAAAAGTCCTGCCCTGTCATTGGCTGAGTACATTTTGTGGTGATAGATTTCACAAACTTTTGGAGGTCTATTGAGAACAATGTTGAACGGATGTGACCAGCATTCACCCAGCTGTGTTGAGTTTTGGCCGTATTTTATTTCTTTTTATCATTGGCTCCATCTAGTGGACATAATTTTGTATTGCGCTATTTTTACTGATGGAGGTATTTCAGGAAAATTACCTCATTATTGCCACTAAATGGAGCTTCCATACTGGGCACTTTTACCCCCTTCCTGCCCAGGCCATTTTCCAGCTTTCAGCGCTCTCACACTTTGAATGACAATTGCGTGGTCATACAACATTGTAAACAAACTAAAATTTTATCATTTTGTTGACACAACTAGAGCTTTCTTTTGGTGGTATTTAATCACCGCTGGGATTTTTATTTTTGCTAAATTAACAAAAAAAGTTATTCTTTGTTCCTGTTATAATAATTTGCAAATAAATAATTGTTCTTCATAATTTTAGGCCGAGATGTATTCTGCTACATGTCTTTGGTGAAAATAACCCAAATCAGTATTTATGAATTAGTCTGTAGGGAAGTTATAGAGTTCACAAACTATGGGAGATATCTGATAAGTGATCAATCCTGAAGTACTGATTTCTAATTTCTTGAGGTCCAAAAATGTCAGAACGGTACAGATATCCCCCAAATGTCAGGACGGTACAGATATCCCCCAAATGTCAGAACGGTACAGATATCCCCCAAATGTCAGGACGGTACAGATATCCCCCAATCAGGACGGTACAGATATCCCCCAAATGTCAGGACGGTACAGATATCCCCCAAATGTCAGGACGGTACAGATATCCCCCAAATGTCAGGACAGTACAGATATCCCCCAAATGTCAGGACGGGACAGATATCCCCTAATGTCAGGACGGTACAGATATCCCCCAAATGTCAGGACGGTACAGATATCCCCCAAATGTCAGGACGGTACAGATATCCCCAAAATGTCAGGACGGTACAGATATCCCCCAAATGTCAGGACGGTACAGATATCCCCCAAATGTCAGGACAGGACAGATATCCCCCAAATGTCAGGACGGTACAGATATCCCCCAAATGTCAGGACGGTACAGATATCCCCCAAATGTCAGGACGGTACAGATATCCCCCAAATGTCAGGACGGTACAGATATCCCCCAAATGTCAGGACGGTACAGATATCCCCCAAATGTCAGGACGGTACAGATATCCCCCAAATGTGAGAACGGTACAGAAATCCCCCAAATGTCAGGACGGTACAGATATCCCCCAAATGTCAGGACAGGACAGATATCCCCCAAATGTCATGACGGTACAGATATCCCCCAAATGTCAGGACGGTACAGATATCCCCCAAATGTCAGGACGGTACAGATATCCCCCCAAATGTCAGAACGGTACAGATATCCCCCAAATGTCAGGACGGTACAGATATCCCCCAAATGTCAGGACGGTACAGATATCCCCCAAATGTCAGGACAGTACAGATATCCCCCAAATGTCAGGACGGTACAGATATCCCCCAAATGTCAGGACGGTACAGATATCCCCCAAATGTCAGGACGGTACAGATATCCCCCAAATGTCAGGACAGTACAGATATCCCCCAAATGTCAGGACAGGACAGATATCCCCAAATGTCAGGACGGTACAGATATCCCCCAAATGTCAGGACGGTACAGATATCCCCCAAATGTCAGGACGGTACAGATATCCCCAAAATGTCAGGACGGTACAGATATCCCCCAAATGTCAGGACGGTACAGATATCCCCCAAATGTCAGGACGGTACAGATATCCCCCAAATGTCAGGACGGTACAGATATCCCCCAAATGTCAGGACGGTACAGATATCCCCCAAATGTCAGGACGGTACAGATATCCCCCAAATGTCAGGACGGTACAGATATCCCCCAAATGTCAGGACGGTACAGATATCCCCCAACAGATATCCCCCAAATGTCAGGACAGTACAGATATCCCCCAAATGTCAGGACGGTACAGATATCCCCCAAATGTCAGGACGGTACAGATATCCCCCAAATGTCAGGACAGTACAGATATCCCCCAAATGTCAGGACGGTACAGATATCCCCCAAATGTCACGGTACAGATATCCCCCAAATGTCAGGACGGTACAGATATCCCCCAAATGTCAGGACGGTACAGATATCCCCCAAATGTCAGAACGGTACAGATATCCTCCAAATGTCAGGACGGTACAGATATCCCCCAAATGTTAGGACGGTACAGATATCCCCCAAATGTCAGAACGGTACAGATATCCCCCAAATGTCAGGACGGTACAGATATCCCCAAATGTCAGAACAGTACAGATATCCCCCAAATGTCAGGACAGTACAGATATCCCCCAAATGTCAGGACAGTACAGATATCCCCCAAATGACCCTATTTTGCACAGTAGACAGTCCAACGTATTTCATAAGAAGCATGGCAAGTTTTTTGAAGTTGTAATTTTTTAGTCATTTTTTGGAAAATGAAGAAATTAAAAAAAGTATTTTCACAATTTTTTTTTACATACTGTGACCAGTGCAGTACAGCGTCATCATATAACTGGTGTGGCGGTGATCAGGGACACTGTCTGGTGCCAGCACAAAAAAAAAATAATTGTTTTTAATTTTTTTTTTAATTACATTTTTTTCTCTTTTTTTAAGATTTTTTTTCATATTACACTATGACCAAAGTAGCATAAATACTACCATAGTAACATTGTACTACTTTGGGGAAGTGATCAGTTTTTTTTTTTTTTTACACAATTTGATTGCTTATAGCAAAGAATTTCTTTGCTATAAGCAAGCATTTAACTGAATGAAATCGATTCATTCAGGTTTTTTTTTGTTGTGATTAGCTGTGATTGGCCACTACTAATCCCATGAAACAGATGGGCTGTGATTGGCCCAGCCTGTGCATATGATCGCTGTGACCATTCACAGCTAGACACACTTGTATACAATGGATGACATGAAAGGAAGCCATCCATTGTATACAACTGTCATGTGACCTGCTGTGATTGGTCACAGCAGGTCACATGGTACTGGCAACGGGGCCGGTACACAGATCTGTTATTGGCCATGTCTGAGGTACACAGCCGGTGACAAATCTCTCCACAGCGCAGCCCTGCGGGCACCGTCAAGGTGCAATCTAGAAAGGACATCATATGACGCCCTCCCAGATTGATGAGAGTTCCTCCCGACCATCATTTTCCTATTGGCCAGGCTGGAAGTGGTTAAAATATGGCCAGATTTTGTCACAGCTGGATGAATGCTGGTCACTTTCGTCCAATGAATTCTCTATAAATAGACCCCTTTGTTTCCTTCGCTCGGCATGGTTTTATACTAATACCTGAGGTCATACCTCTACACTTAGAAGTACAGGAAACACTGAATGACATCAGTTAATTAAACCAACCATTGATTTAAAAATGGAAATACTGCATTCAGCCATTAGGTGGCGCTAAGTATCATAGGAATTAGCGCCATCTAGTGAAAAAATGCAACATTTCCATTTTAAATAATTGGAAAATATTCAACCAGCTCAGGAAATAGCCTAATAACATTTGTTTAATACTCCATTCACACAGAAATGTACAGGCGTTTCCACAGGGTGAACAGACTCCTAGCTGCCAGGAGACATTTATATAAAAGTATTAAGAGTGCAGCTGGGAAGTAAATGACCCTCCTGGCAATGTTATGTGGCCCCCTCCTAGTTAGGTGCTAGACTGTTAGAAAAATGTCTTCTCTTTTTGTTGTGCATATCTGTAATTAGTAAATCTGCTGCTGATTGCTTTGGTCTGATCTGGCTGCACACTTGATTGCTTCTCCCTGCTTTCTGGAAGACACTGGAACATAGGAGGGAATCAGGCTGAGTGAGCAGTCTGAATATTGATGAGATTTCAGCCAATCCCTGAGGGAGCGTGTTCAGAAGGTGGTTAGTAAAATGTCTGGGGCTGCATCAGTCTAGGTCCTTGTCTAGTAGGAGGAGCTCCTAGCCTGGAGGATTGTGGCCCTTTACCAGGAGCTCAGTGAGGCCCCCAGCTACCAAAAAGCTAAGGCCAGTGGCGTGCCATCAGGGGTTGCAGAGGTCGCAATTTTGCCCCAGCCCCTGTTCCTGTCATATTAGGTTTTGTTGCTGGAGCCTGTATGCAGAAGCTGACACCATCTGCTGCCCTGCTGACATCATAAACTGCTTTACTAACACCATCCTCTGCCCTACTGACACCATCAACTGCATTACTGACACCATCCTCTGCCCCTACTGACACCATCAACTGCATTACTGACACCATCCTCTGCCCTACTGACACCATCAACTGCATTACTGACACCATCCTCTGCCCTACTGACACCATCAACTGCATTACTGATACCATCCTCTGCCCTACTAACACCATCAACTGCATTACTGACACCATCCTCTGCCCTACTGACATCATCAACTGCATTACTGACACCATCCTCTGCCCTACTAACACCATCAACTGCATTACTGATACCATCCTCTGCCCTACTGACATCATCAACTGCATTACTGACACTATTAACTGCTTTTCTGACACTATCATCTGTCTTATTGACACTATCAACTTCTTTATTGATATACTCTGCCCTGCTGACACCATCAGCTGATTTACTGACACCATCCTCTGCCCTAATAACACCATCAACTGCATTACTGA